CACAGAGGTCTTAACTCATAGCTACAAAAAATATTTCGTAATTCTCATCAAAAAATACTATCATGTCGTATGACCGAACAAATTACTTTCTGATACACCCGTCTATACCTAGTTACATCTCTTGTCATATTAACCCCATAAAGTATAGCAAGAAAAAAACAAGATGAGTAGACTTTAAAACAATGTTAAGAATTACAAATATAAAAAAGTGTAGAAGTTGACGGTAATAAAAATTTTGAAAAAAAATAAAAAATATTTTCTATGTAATTTTTAAGAAAGCAATTTGCTGTAACTGTCTCATTTTGTCCCACGTCATTTACAGCAAACAACGATTGTTTATAAAAGATGAATTGACATGAAACTGAAGAAATAAAATAATTGATTATAAGGTTACGAACGCATACGACCCCATTCAGAACTCTTAATTAGTAGGCCAAAACTTCTAAATGAACACTTTTATGAGGTAGGTCACCAAAGAAAAATTATTTTGACATATAATTTCCTTCAGCAAGTAACTTCTTAAGTCTTAACCTAAAGTAAATTCTTTTTTAGATGCAAAACAGTGCTACCCTTCATTTACGATAAACTCAACAGAATGATTCCAAGTTCACAAAAAACTAACAGCTTCGTTTCTTAACTCTGTAATATAATAATTTGATAGAATTGCCTGTAAAACAAATTTTAATATGTTCAGAATTGTCATAGCTACTTTTTAGAGCACTGAGGAAAAGTGGTAAAAAAGTATTGGAAAAATGTGTGATATCAGATATGAGATCGAAAAGCAAACAAAAAAAAAATGCCCAAAAACCACAAATTCTGCTCTTCAGAAATTTATCTTGATAAACAAAAAACTTTTGAGCCTGAAAAACACCTTTTTTACTTTATTTTGTATTTTTTACAGAGTTTCTTTCATTATCTCATAATTTGGCTTTCTCTTCAATACTTTTAGCTTTCCAAATGTTTTTATAGCATTTTGACATTCTGGAGTCTGTAACAGTGGCTCAGTTACTAACAGAATCCGTAGTTTAAACACTTTAAAAACTAGAAAGAGAAAGAGTCCTTTCTGCAACTGAACAGAACTTTATTATAGTTGTGATTTAATCATGAACGGAAGGGGTACTTTGAAATGGTGGGGAAACAGTCCCACCCCGTCATTAACCTATGCAGTGGATCAAGAACTTTCATGTGTATATTTCAAATTCCATAGTTGCGTAAGCAGCTTTACTCTGATCAGAAGATGGTCTAGAAAGTCAGAGCTGAGTTTGTACTGAAGTAGTCGCGAAGATCATATCTTTTACAGTGACGGCTTTGAGCTCTTCAGACTTCCGACACTGCACCTTTGAACTTCATTTAATACAGGCAATTCCACTACGACAGAAGGCATAGTGGCTGGGATACAGGAAAAAATCACAAGTTTTACAGGTGGAAAAAAACATCCAGAAAGCGTTCAAATATTTTTGAGGTTAAAATATATGTGAAGAGAAGGAGCCAAAAACTTCAGATACAAAAATGAAAAAAAAAGTTTGCTCAAAGTTGATGTATCAGAGTAAATGCCAAGTGACTGCGACTAAAGCGTTCTTGTAATATTAGCCTATTTCGCACCAAGCCGCTGAAACAGTAGACGACGTCAGTTCAGTTTACTGTGAGTTTATAGAGCCAGCCATTCTGCTTGAAGAAGCAAAGTGAACAAACGTTCTCGTTCTACGTCGCGAACGGTTTGCCCCAGCGCGCAGATTACCAGTTTTAATAAAGTTCTTTTTATAAGTTCACCACTTGCTTTAATGCTGCGATTATTTTCTTCGCACCAGCCCTGGAATTCTACTGGATTTGGAGCAATCAAAAGAGTGGATTTTTTTTCAGCTTTAGCAACTGTGATTTTGCGCAGGGTCGCAGGATGTTAAAAAGTATACCATTTGAAATAACTGTGAGTCTAAGGTTTAAAGTAGGTGTACCCATTTGTCTATCTGTTATTGCCAACAAACTAGTTGTAATTGACTAAATGTGAACTTTAGAAAACTTTAAAGCTGTTAACCATACGCAGTCCCGTTTTACTATGACAATAGTACAGGATTTCTGGGCTTAAGTCTGACGGCTTACGATTGTACGTGATAAACGCCTTTTGCTTTTCACAACAGATTACCAGTGGGAGAATTTTTGGTTTTTTTTTTTTTTTTCAGGCGTTCCTTGTTGTACTGTAAAGTAAATATACCATAATCACTGATTCTGAAAGAATTACATTGGTTTTGTTTAGCTGTATGCCTTCGGAGGTGATCTTACTCAAGTTTCAAAAATGTAACATGATGGATTTTATAAAGTTGGTTCTTCAAACATT